TTTCAGAAATCGTTCTAAGATACTGATTTGCTGCTCAAGATACATTTCTGATTATTATCAATGTTTCATATTTAAGCTTCATATTTTTAGTGGAAACTGTGATACTTTTTTCAGGATTATTTGATGAATAGAAAGTTCAAAAGAACTTTTTTTGTAACAAACTTTGGAAAAAAGAATTTACTGTCACTTTTGATCAATGCATTGTGTCCCTGCTAAATTAAAATGTATACATTAAATGTTTTAAATAATAATAAAAAATATATATATATATATTACTAATCTTGAAGATTTGTTTGTAAAGTTAGATGTATTGCTTTGATTTTCTTTGAGTAAAACATGATTTGGAAAAAAAATAAATTTCATATAAAATTTGAAAATAGTTTATTGTACATTTTTCATAGCAATAACCAATATATTTATATAACTATCTTTCTTTATTTTCTCTTTCTTTCTTTCTTTCTTTCTTTTCTTACATTTATATAAATTTCTAAATTTAAAATACCTTTTAAAAAGAGATCAAACTTAAGTCTGTGCGCCAAAGCATTTCAGATACAGTATATGGTAGTTTTATTCTGGTATTTCATTTGCAGATGAATGCTCAAAAAGTGGTTAATATGCAATAAATGGATTATAACTACTGCATAAATATACTTTAGTGCCAGAGAATCCCCTAATTTTTTCTAAAATGAAATACATTTTTATTCAAATAAAAAAAATGTATTTTTGACCATCACACGAGGAGCATCAAAGGGTTTAAATAATGAACAAATGCTCTCACATCAAATCAAAACACATGCAGTCAATAAAAATATATTCATATTAACAAGTAGTCATACTACTTCTTCATCCTGATTTTGCCCTTATAATCAATCCACAGACAACCTCAACCTTCTGATGGAGCTGAGAGCACAGTTTCCATGCTACAGAACAACAAACGCCTTTAGGGATTCCAATTAGAATTTGACTGAACATATTAGAATGAGTTAATGAGCCAAATGTCATTTATTCCAGTGAGGTGTTGTGGTCCACTAACTAATCAGGAACATGGCAAATGGGAAAACATCTAATCGAGACCATGAAATGCAGAATTCAGTAAGAATAAACCAGGAAACAACACATCATCTGTGAACAAAACTTAATGAAAACTTGAAACAGGCTGTAAAAATATCTAGAGCCGAGGAGATTCCAGCAAATACACTGAGATCGTTTGATTTTGGTTCATTAACACTGCCGGTGATTTTCTGGAATCTGTGCGCGAGTTCACACACATCCCATAAAGATCCTGTAAAGACATGTGGCATCGATGTGACGTAATTTCTCCACAGCGTCTTCAGTTTGCTTATGATCTGTGATTTCTCTTTTTTCTGATTCGATCATAAACTATTACGTCACGTACCATTGCACTAAACTCAGCTCATTTACGACACACCCTTACGCCATTGATTACAGCCTATTTTTACACAGTTCCGGTACTAATCCCGGAATCAATCCCGGGACGTGTTTGCTTTCACACAGAAAATTTCTGCCAATTTTATGCCAATTTTCCGGGATCGACATGCTGTTTGAAATGGGCTTAGGTTACTAATGTAAACCTTGTTTCCTAGTGAAGCGAATGTGGATGTTATGTCGCACTAACGTTTTGGGGTCTGGCCTGGGAGCCCAATAACCTCCGAGTGGTAACAAAACGAGCCAATGAACATTGTGAGATTTGCATGACCTACCCAGAAATACATAAATATAAATAGAACCGGTATTACTCACTTCAGTCAAGTTTTGCTGAGAAGCTGAGAGAGGGATCCCAGCCATTCAAGGGCTGTGGTAGGGAGACATGATGTCTCCGTTCCCTCCTTAAAGGAACGGGGGTTACATTATAACCTAGACATTCCCATTCAGTCAGTCATGTTCAACGTTGCGTCGGACTGACATATTGGGGACCCCGTGGAAAGCGGCACAGCCACTGAACTGTGTTACGAGTGTTGGAGATGCAGATGCTGGCAGAAATCTGACAACTGCTCTCACAATGTCGTAACCTACCGTAAAACTTCAAATAATGGGCTATATGCACGCATAAGTTCCGCATTTGACGCAAGGATGCTCAACAGTTTCCGGTTGGGGAGATTAAAGCGGAGGGAAACCAAGGAAAACGGGATTATGGCAGAGTCTTTAAAATTTACCGTCCTCCCGTCTTTGAAATGAAACGTTCATACGTTTAGATGTAATTTTATATATAGTTATGTTTCTTTAATATAATTTTAAAAAGAAGCATAAACACAACGAGGGGTGTCTGTTTTATCTGTTTTTGTGACTACCGTTTCTTTAGTATAACCATGGAGTAT